GGATTGCACTCAGCCTCTGTCTCTGAAGACATCTACTGCACCGTTTAATACGATTCCCCGGTCAGATTTACTGTGATGGCTTTTGAGCCAAAGAGGTATAATATGACAAAACATAGCCCCATAACCCCGGGATATTCAACAATGTTTAGTGGTGAGACCCATTTAGCTTGAGGATTGGCAAATATATTGCTTTCCTCCCTACTCATGTACAGAATTTCAATAAAACGGGGCAGTAAATCAGGCTTGAATTCAAACTTGCGACATCTCCTGCATCGTATAGGCCTCTGTATTTGAGCTGGGGCAGGGAGGAGTGTGTGAGTGTGTGTGCGTTCATGTACGGTCTATTACTGCATGTCTGTGTCGTCATTTGACTTTTATCAACCTTTTAGATGAAATAAAGTTGGACAAATACTGTACATACCAGTCAAAAGTTTGGACACACCTTCTCATTCAAAGTTTTTTATTTATTCAAATGTTTTCTACATTGTAGATTTATACTGAAGACATCAAAACTATAAAAGAACACATATGGAATTATCTAGTGAACAAAAAAGTGTCCAAAATCCAGAATATGATTTATATGTTGCTGGCTACTGCAGAATGCTGTGGTAGCCATGCTGGTTAAGTGTGCCTTGAATTCTGACTTATTCACCAACAGTGTCACCAGCAAAGCCCCCCCCCACACCATCTCACTTCCTCCTCCATGCTTCACGGTGTGAACCACACATGCAGAAACCATCCGCTCACCTTCTCTGCGTCTCACAAAGTCACGGAGGTTGAAACCAAAAATCGCAAATTTGGACTCATCAGACCAAAGTACAGATTTCCACTGTCTAATGTCCAATCCTTGTGTTTCTTGGCCCAAACAATTCTCTTCTTCGTGTTGTTCATCCTCAGAAGTAGATCTTTGCAGCAATTGGACCATGAAGGCCTGATTCACGCAGTCTCTCCTCTGAACAGTGGATGTTGAGAATGTCTGCTACTTGAGCTCTGTGAGCTCCAATCTGAGATGCTGTTAACTTGCAGTTCCTGAGGCTGATAACTCTGATGTATTTATCCTCTGCAGCAGAGGTAACTCCTGCTCTTCCTTTACTCATGAGAGCCAGTTTCATCATAGCGTTCGATGGTTTTTGCGACTGCACTTGAGGATAAATTCAAAGTTCTTGACATTTTCCGGATCGACTGGCCTTCATTTCTTAAAGTGATGATGGACGGTCGTTTCTCTTCACTGAGTTGAGTCGTTCTTGCCATAATATGGATTACAACAGTAGTCAAATAGGGCTTTCCACTGTGCACTAACCCTACCTCTGCACAACACAACTGATGGTCTCAAACACATTCAGAAGGCAAGTCATTCCACAAATTGACTCTTGACAAGGCACACGTGTTAATAGAAAACCATTCCAGGTGACGACCTCATGAAGCTGACTGAGTTTTTTTGTTAACTAGATAATTCCATATGTGTTCTTTCATAGTTTTGATGTCTTCAGTATTAATCTACAAAGTAGAACACAATTAAAATAAACAAAAACCATTGAATGAGAAGGTGTGTCCAAACTTTTGACTGGTGGCTGGTTAGGCCCATTAATTTCTATAAAAAATAGCTCAGTGGCACGGACTCTTGGGTACCAAAATACTGGGATCATCAAGTTGATTTACATTATTTAAAAATTCGTTTTCCCAATGTAAAGAAATTGGAAACAGTCTTTTTGGGCCCAAATTATGTCAAAGACTGTTGCTCCACTGTTTGGCAACTAAAAAACAAAGTGCTTCAATGCCTGGCTCACTTCCTGGGGGATTGGGAAACACAACTTCTGTTGTTTTGCAGAAAAACAGCAGGTGATACAGCATGTGATATAGAATTACAAAATGTAATTGTCTCTCATGTCTAACGTTTTTTTCCCATGGTGCCCACCTCTGAAGGGTTATTTTTACATCAAATAACACACACAGACACACAGTACAGTGTTCTGGGGGACACGTTGATGGAATGTGAATGTCAGCGGTCTCTTTATTTACTCTCCATATAACACACTGAGCAGTAATTAACAGCAGGTATACTCCCCAGCCGGAGGGTAATTGACTGTGTCAAAGCGCCAACACTTCATAACCCAGGCTGTGTGTATGTGTGTGTGTGTAAGAGAGAAACTGTATGTGAGAGAGCAACCAAATGTGTATGTGTTTGTGTGTGAGTGTATTGAAATGAACTCCTTTATATTCTACACCTCCCCCGCCTCTCCTCCCTTCCTCCCAATAAGGATAAGGGTCAGCAGTGGTGGGCAGAGCCACTCAAACGCTCCAGATTTCTTTATGAGCGCATTAACATTCAGGCGTATTCATTATCATTAAGTGTAGTAAGATGGACCAAGCAGAGACATTGTGCCATCAAAACGTGGACTGTTAATTTCAGGACGTGAGCAGAATGTTCTCTGGGGGATCGGAAGTCTCTTTTCTTCATCAACTCAACAGGGTCAGCTGTGGATCTTTACGTATACATTCACGTTGCAGCAAGTGATGGAAAAATATCATTTTCATGAACCTGACCTACAGAAGGAATTTGATACTGTACAAAAACAAAAACATAGTTTTACCTTGCTAATATAAAAGTGTTACAACTCACTTACGAACTTTGCACTTTTTCTTGCTATTCACATGCTTAATTGACTTTGTCAAAGCTATCATGAACAAACTCATAGTATAGCAGTGGTGAACCGTCAGGGCCTTCAAGATATTCAGAGAATACCCTGGAACACTCAGATAAAAAAAAACAAAAAATCTAATTATATAAATAAAATGTAAATAAAATGAATAAATTAGAATGGCATCTGTGTTGTTGATCTGTAATATTACAGTGTTAGGTTGAGTTGTTTGTCTTTCTCGGTCCATGCACTACGCATGCAACCAATAAGATATTTTTCTGGGTCTCTGGGAAGAATATCCTACAACCAAGTGATATTTTCGCCATACTATACTACAGTGGCGAACCGTGTCTATCACAACTGGACCTTCTGTGGACACCGCCCCCCCAGACAGACGTCACAGAGGCAGTCACTTTGCTTTTTGACTGACTTTATTTATAATGTCCATCTTTTCACTGAATGGTCGTCTTGAAAAGGGTACTAACAACAATTCCGCAACAACATCATCTTCACCTGTTGCCATTTCGACATAGAAAACCAATAAAACTTCAAATGAATTGCTACGTCACATTTATCTAGATCCTCTGTCTCGAGCCAGTGAACTAACGGGCCTTCTATCTAGACTCTAGAGTACCCTGGAACCGAGGGAAACTCTGAAAGAATACGCCCATTGGCTACAAATCAATATATGATTGGTTGATCAAACTGTCAATCCAAACGTACGCTCTCATTCAGTGTAAGGGCCAGGGTATTCTAGGATATAGAATACCTAAAGTCAGAGTATACTATGTCGGAAAAGTAATAGTATCGATTGTCAAAACATTAAAAAAAAAGTCATATCATAGTTTGTTTATAAAATGTGTAATATAGTCGAAAACATTATGAAAAAAGTGTAGTAAGTTGAGTAAATGATGTCAAAAATGACGTCAATAATATGAAAAAAAGTCATAGTATGTCGAAAACGTCGTGAAAAAAGTCAGTTTAGTTTGTCTAAAATGACAAAGTCATAGTATATTATGTCGAAAAACTCATAGTATTCTAAAAATGTCATTTATGTCATAAATAGTAATTGAATAGTATGTCAGTAAAACATGTGATTTAAATGGCTGAAGATCATTGAGGTTTCCATATGTGAATAGATCAGTGTACAGAATAACCGTCCAAATCTCTCTGGAAAAACTTGAAATGTATTGTCACTCTGTTTATGATCCAAGCATTCCTCCAGGGGAAAATCCAAAAGCCTATTTATCTACTACAGCTCATAATACTGTATGCAGCAGTCATACGAATGACAAGCCAAGTAACTCTGTTCAGCTGCTTCATGCTCACATGGGGCCATCTGCTCTTCTAGGGAACATAAAGTTAACGATAGGCTTGTTGAGATGTGTTAATTAGACTGTACATTTGCTAATTGATTTTGTTGATTAGGTTTAGAGGGGACGGGTGCTAATTGTTATCTCTTAATGTATGTTAATGGTTGTTAAAATATGCTGTTAGCTTAGTTGTAATTTCCCCAACAACAACAACAGCAGCAGACACAACATGGTGTCAACCAAAGGTGCCAACACAATTAGAGCTCCTCTGAGACATGTAACCCTGATTGGCCATGACGCTAATTAGTATGGTGACAGTTAAAGGCCTCTAATTGACAGCAGTGCTTGGCCTTCATTGTTTATTTATCTGGCTTGATTCCTCTCAACAAAATGTAACATTTACCGTTTTGTTCCTTCAATAAATGTTGCTATAAAAAGGACAGAGTGCTGTTTGTAGGGTTTGTTGTGCCAAGTGTTGTCTCTCTGGTCATTGAGGCATCAGAAGGCTGGCTGTACGGTCCTTTGTGATCAAAATGTAATTTCAAAAAGGTGGACATAACAGGGTTAGATCCAAATTCCTTCCTAAGAGATAATATAGTGGTCTAACATCTTTTAATGTAGAGTATTTGGAGAACTGATACAACAAGCTAAAAATTACAAGTAAACCCAAATGTCAACCATCCTGCAGGTCTCCCTTGAAAGAGAGATCGATGATCTCAATGGGACCACCTGGTTACATAAAGGTTTGAAATTAAATGAAACGTTTTATTCTTGAGTATTTCAGTATTGATTTATACATACACAACTGTATGTAAAGATAACATCTTTAGATCTAGCAATATAAATATTTAAACATTCAGAGGAGTAATAACTCCCCTGTTCTCTTATTTTGTCATAACAGTAATATGAACAGGCAATGATTGAAGCCCAAACAATACCAGTCGTACATTTTCTAACAGCAATGGCTCTTATCACGTTAACAAATACGTGCAACATAGGAGTTTTGTAGAAACACTAGCATCCCTCAACAGAAGAGTGCATTTTTGGTTTAGTTGTCAGTTTTCCGTCTTTTGGGCAGACGAAGCCTCTCTGTGTTGAGGAACTGTTCGATTTTGAAGATCTGGGTTCTGAACGATGCCTGTTGGTCTTCCCTTTCCTGGGAGCAGGACAGGTCCCCGTCTGTGCTGGGACCTGCAGCTGAAGTGGGAGCTCTGCTACACCTGGTGTAAGAAAAAGAAATCACTAGGTGGCTTTGGTATGCAACTATAATATGACTCCTAATAGGCCTTTCTCACGGAGGAGATTTGGACTTTTCACAGTATGAAAAGCACATGTGTAAATGTTGAATTTAATGAAGGTTACTCTGATGTCAGGGTCCTGGTATTGCGCTTGCTGGCTCACTTGTCTCTCTTGAATAGAGTAGGGATGGCTATCATAACGATTTTATCGATACCATGCTGCTTATCAATACCAATATTTATCCATAATCTCTAAACCAGGGGAGATTCCCAGTCGATCGCGAGATGTGTCTAAACAACAATATTCTGTTTTATCGTTAATGTCCTATAACATAATCTTCCTGTGCCAGAATAATGCACTTGAACGCATCAAAGCTTTGTGATTGGCATGACCCCATGTGTCAGGGCGTGGCTGGTGGGCAGTGGGCACTAGTTCTCTGACGTTGTCCGTGGCAACAGGAGTGACAGTCCGCACACACGCAAGACCACAATTATGGCAGAAGCAAAAAAGCCCAAAATATATAATTTTCACTCCGAGTGGGAGGATGATTATTTTTGTATCTATTCCAATTCAAAGTCCATCTGTCTCATCTGCAATGCGAGCGTGGCTTTATCGAAGAAGAGTAATTTAAGAGCGGCATTTCAAAACAGTGCACAAATGCTACGAGACGGAATTCCCTCCTAATTCTGCCCTACGCTCCCAAAAGGGGAGGGACCTGAAAGGACAGCTAAATGTGTTGCTTGCATCCTAATTTAAAAAAGGCATTTATTTTTATACTCTACTAAAATGCAACAAAAAAAGGGTTTGATTCTATTAATTTTGTCTTTTTTATTGCACTTTGGCAGCAGATTCCTGTGTAGCTTCAGATCTGAGTTGTCTTATTAGTAAGCCTAATTTTAATGGCAAAGAAAGGGTTCAGAGTCTTTTCTTTTTTCCCTGTGTCATATGTAGCAGCACTGTTCAATGTTTCTTGAAAACATTACCCACTGTAGTATGTGACGTGTGAATAAACTCCAACTCTGTATCAACAACACTGTTGTGTAACTTCAGTTAAATACTTGTATGTGTGCAGATTAGAAAGAGGTAAGATAAAGGATGTGCAGTATTTTATGGAGTATTCATCGTACAAAAGTCAGTTTTATACAAGTAGAAGTGTGTATGTATCTTGTAGTAGGCTGTCAGTAATGGCTACGCCTCTCCATTTGAACTGGTAGATCTCGGCAGGCTGGCAACTTTAAAAGTAGCTCTCGGTTCAAAAAAGGTTGGGCACCCCTGCTCTAAACTATAGAACATAACAAGTGAAAAACTATAAACTTAAAAAGTTTGAAGTTAGGCCAACTTACCCAGCAAGTAGTTAGTGATTAAAGCAATGCTAGCTATTGGCTATTGAACATACTTGAATCCACTATCGTGAAGGGCTGTAATTCTTTTAGTAAAAACTTGCCGACAGCTCTGACTCTTCGCCGTCTCTACCTGTGTCATTTGGAGATGGGAGACTGCACTAAATATGTATGTGTGACGCTAATGTTAGCAGCCACTTTGTTCAAGCAGTCAAACATGCTGTACTTCTTTGAGCAGAGCGTTCCTAACCATCCAACGTAGCGTAACACAAACACCTGTGGCACTGTTTGTCCAGCAGCTTATCAATATTTCAGTACTGGCCAATCCCGGTTCTTGACCCATTCCTAAAGTGGAGCCATCGTTAGGGTTTTTGGTAGCACCTGTGCTTTTCTTCTATGACAAGCCAACATTTGAGCTGTGGGGGCCTATAACCAGGGGTGCACGTAACTTTCTCAGTGAGGTACTCAGATGAGTACCAGCAGTCAGTGTTTGGTACTCCAACTTCTGGCCCCACATAAAGTTATGTGATAAAGCCCTCTGTGTCGCGAACGCCGCCGCCGACGGGGTGGGTTGTGCTAGTGCAGTACTTCGGGAACGTCGTTGACGAGACGGGGGATGGTGAGCGTGCCGTGAACGTTGTGATCAGCTGATTTTGCGCAGTTCTACAGTGTGTGCGCGGGGTGCACAGGGGAGTCTCCCTCCGCAGCTGGTTGGCGTAGTTTTGGCACAATTCCGTTGTACAGACCGATGTTAACAGCAGCCCCGTCTGTGCACACGGAGACCGACTCTGGAAAAGCTTCACAAGTACGTCGGTACGCAAAGGCGCTTAGTGACACAAGTGACGGTACGCATTTCAGATTTTTGCCGCGCATGCGTACCTGGGTACCAGTTATGTGCATCCCTGCCTATAACAATGCACTCAACATGAACGATAAGGAAATCACCTTTATATCATGATGAAATAATGAGTAAAAACCAACATTTGGAACTTATTTGTAAAAATATCATATATTTTTTAACTAGCGTGGGACATGAATGTTAGACATAAAGACTGCCCCCGTGTTTTGTCTCACTCGGTTATTCACTCTCCCTGGGTAGGGTCAGTAGCTGAATTTGCAACCTTTTTGGAGGACTATTTAAATCTTATAAATAATTTACACTGACGACTTTATGACAATGTAAAGTTATAGATTCAAATTTTTAAGAGAGAGTTTCACTGCAAAATCCAAATCGAAACTCGATAGCAATTCTGGTCCTCTTTATGTATGAGAAATGGACTTACCCTGGGGTGTTCTGCCATGACAGTCTGCTGACTGCTGTGTTGACTGGAAATGAAGTAGTGGACAGAGAAGCTCTGCTCCCCTAGAGTATGTAAAAATGACACCAAAAAGGGCAAATACTGAAGTCCTAGAGCTCAAACACAAGCTGTGAACTTCTATTTAGGCTGTGGAAAAGGAATTCATTCTTTCTCAAATCTCCAGTGACAGCTCCATTTTCTTAGTAAAAAGGACATTAACCAATAAACAAATGTGGGGCAGACAATAACCAGTGGCAATTGATAAGAAACAGTATCCAGCCCAGAGAATGTATCCAGGCGCAGACTGAACTCTGCGTGACGTTCCCAGCGTTCACAGTCTGCAGAAAATAAAGGCTTTGGCTCTCGCTACAATTTGTAAAACCAGTTTTTTTTCTCATTCTCTAGGCTTGTTCCACTCTATCTCTCTCAATTGCCAGCACCTGGATCTTATAAAGCACAGAGTGACGGTTTGCGGTGATGGTGACAAAAGAGGCAATGAGAGCGAGTGAGAGCAAAACAGCGAGCAAGAGGACGGAGAAAGTGAGTGAGTGAGAGATGGATGATGAAGTGAGAGAGGAAGAGAAAGAGTAAGGACATGGATAAAGACTGAGTAAGTGAGAGAGGAGAGGTACCAAGGCGTCATTAGGTCCATGTTCTTCCACAGGTAATTCATTCTGTCTGTCTGGCTATCAACGGGACGTTTTCGAGTTCAGGGTACATCAGCGACCTCCTTTCACTCATCGCCGGACATTTGTCAAAGCTTTATACATCTATTATCTCTTACTGTACATTTTGCCTTTATGTGCTAGCTCATTCTGAGTTCTTTGCACCATAACAATGTTGAAAAAGCTTTATGTCTACTTTCTAAATATGTCAGGTTGATATAACAGACATATGCATTAAGCTCTAGCATCCATTTCCCGTGGGGTCCACTCAGACACATTTTATAAAATGATGAAGCTTAGAATCTGTGGAGACAAAATGACCTCAAACTAATTATTTGATAGAGCAATATCTCATGTGTTTCTATGTGAACCACATAATGTGGCCGTTTCCTGCTGCTCAGCATCAAGGTATAATTGTGTATTACTGTGATGTAATATACTTGAAATCATATGATCTACATAGCTATATATTGGGATTATATATATATATGTCCACTCATACATCATATGAAGGTAAATTGTCTCAATATTATTTGTGTGAACAGATCGATAATCCATGTATAAAGCTGTAATCTGTACATTTTCAATAGCCTTCCACAAATGCAAAAAAAAGTGAATTAGATCATATACATAAAACCAGCAAACGCACACAAAACCTCATTGAGTCATATTTACACAATAAATTAAAGAATATGTGTTAATTGCCTTTGGTTTGAAAAACAAAACAAAAACAGCAGTTACTATACTCTTACTATAAATGTGGAAACTAAGATGTCAGCAGGCCATCCAAAAGTGTCCGAATGTGTAAAATGCAAATCAACAAGTGTAGAATACACTTATAATATTCATATTATAAAATATTCAGAAATGCTTTTTATTCAAATCAATTCATTTTCACATATTTCTTTTTTTAATTGTTGAATGTGTTTGTATTTGTTTTGAGTTTCCCAATTTGTTAGCATTTGTGGAAGGTGTTTTACATTAATAGATTACACATTTACACACAGAATGATGATCTGTTCAAAGAAATATTATGAGAAAAATCCACATCAATACAAATGAAAATATATAATATAATACATATAGTAGGGGTATGTTTTTATCGGTGCTGTAAAAAGAGGCCCTATAATGCTACTTGGGGTTTTCCCATTCCTGTAGTGTGTAATATAGGTTTTTGTACATGTAAGTGTTTTTGCAAAGGCTAAAAACGCTGTGTTCCTTCCAGAGGGAGTTTCTCCCACCCTGCCTGAAGCACCTCCATTGGACTCTTTTGTCTACTTATGTAACATAGTGACATCACTATGTAACACTGGCGCTTCTATTGGCTAGTGCTCAACACACATTGTACGCGATCGGCTAACTCAGGGGTCGGCAACCGTCCTCTGCTCTGGCTCCCTTGAGCTTAGACAAAAATAAGAAAAAAATAAAATAAAAGTATTTGTAGGACTATTTATATTTTGTTGCACGGTTGAAAATGTTTCGTATCTTGTATTTTGAGGTGATACTGTGACACATACATTTTTTTTAAAAAAAACGGTTTTAATTGGTCAACTAAAATATGCATCATATCCTGCTACGATCCTGCGCTAGCGCCTTTTCTTGCAGGCGAATAACCAGACCCCCAACTCGATGACCGAACTATGGATAAATCAAAGAAAAGTATCTGAGGAACACAGAGGGTTTAATTCGGCGTGGTTAGAGTTATATGCTTTCACAGCAAACGATGCTGGCTTACCGGTATGTTTGATATGTGGAGAGAAGTTGTCAAAGGTGCTGCAGGCTTTACGTATCGGAGGAAAAACACGGAAGAGGAAGACAGCTGACAATCTTCAGTCATAATTCAATCAGTTAACTCTTTTTAGGGTGCAGCTATATGTTTTATTTATTTCAAAGTGGGCCCATTTTAATTATATTCATTTCCTTCAAATGTGCAGAGGACTCCCCGAGTGCTGTATTGATTTATTAGTAGGCCTGTGTATTTTTTTGTATTCTCCTTATAAGAGTTCTTTGTTTATTATTAGAGGTAAACAGTTTTCAATAATGTAATAAATAATAAATGCAAAACAACTGTAGTTTTGTCTATGATGTAACAATATATACAACTTTATAAGCTATCAAACTATCAAATATGTTTTGCGGCTCCAGACAAAAAAAAATGGTGGAAAAGGGGGCAAAATGGCTCTTTTGGTCAAAAAGGTTGCAGACCCCTGGGCTAACCAATCAGAGCAGACTGGGCTCTGGTTTCAGACAGAGGGTGAAAAGAGGTGCTGCAGCACAGGCAGTATGAGAAAGATAAAGAGCTTTTTGAACATTAGAGCATGGAGACATGTCACAGTAGAGGCACTAAATACAAATATGAACCTGAAAAGGAGCATAATATGTCCCCTTTAACGTCTACTTCCTGAAATAATACTGGGATCAGATTCAAGCAGAAGCCTGTTTCCGTAGATTGCTGATTTTTGATTATCATTCTTTAAGTGTGTGACGAAAGAACAGCTTGTTACTTCATAATCTGTTCTGTAACTGACCATGTTTGCCGTCTCTTTGCAGGTCTCTCCCGAATCTTTCCGCTCTCCCTGCTGTTGTCTCTGTGTGGACGCTGCAGTCCCAGAGACACTGGAGGCATTCAACAGATCCGACGCCCTGCTAATCACCAAGGGGACTAGAAAGAATGAGGTGAGAAGGCAAGAACGGCAAGAGGGTAAGAATGAGTGATTATTGGTGATGGTATGAAATACAGATGTACACTGAGAGGTCACTATGTAAGAGGTTACAAGTGGAGCAGTACTACTTGGCGAGATGCTGTATTTTTGAATGTAGTACAAATGCAACCATCACCTTTGGTGCGCTTGCTTTTGAGAAACAAGGGTATGGTGCAGTGTCTGAGTCCACTGGAATCACTTGTATTCTGCTCAGACATAGGAGATCCCTGAATAGAAACACAAATATTTGATATGGAGCAAAAAAGCCATCATAAAAATACCAATTATATAGTGTATCCATTATTAATAGTAGTATCCATTAATAGAGTTTTGAACGATGAATTTGACTATTCGTCGGGAGATGACATTGATGTGGAAGCATCTACAGTTACCAGGCATCCCATGGCCTATGCTTATGAACCGATTCGGTCGAATACTAGAGTGGCATACGATCCGGAATCCGCCGAAAGTACAGACGGTTCTGAACTCGCCGAGTGGGATACCACCAGTTCCAGTACCGACTCGGTCTCAGAGGAAGAAGATGTTGCTCAAAACCCGGGACGAATGGACAACACAGATTGGTGTACATGTAACAATTGTGTGGTGATGCCATCGGAAAATGAATGTAGATGTTGCAGGGGAATTGGTATCGACCACATGCTCAATTCAGACGGGAATAATCTCCAGTGTATCATGGAACACCGACTGTTCCCTATGGTTTCCATCGAGAATGATATGTTGGCGATCGCAATGGTATTGCTACGAGACGTGCGTGCAGCAACCCTCGAACGACCAATAAATAGCGAGTAAGTGTAGGCCCTATTTAAAAATATATAATTGTTTTTAAATTAAATGATTTGTATTTATATGTGTATCCTATTTATTTCAGCCTCTACAGACTAACAGCTTATCGGCAATTCACCATCTGGACTAGAGGTTTCCTTGGAAAAGGGAACAGAGTGCCGATACCTGCCTGTGTTGTGAATCGGATACGAAGTCACTACCCATCAGTAACCTACAAAGGATTTGAATATTCTGGAGGGATATGATGTGACCAATGATTCCATGCATGGAAGGCAAATCTTTGACAGTGAAATCGTGACATTTAGGCTAGCGAAGAAAAAAAAATTCTACTTTGATAATGGAACCATTCATACAATGTTTGTGATATATCAGAACAGTATTTACAACTTATATTATCAAGCATATACATGTATCTCACTAGATTCTACAAATGTTTTTCAGTGCTCGATGTTCATAAAGTAATAAAGACCATTTTCCTGAACCAAACTATGTTTTTACCCTTCAAATAATAATATACAAATACTACCAGCATATATTACTTCAGCCATAGACGTCCTTTATTTATTTGCCACAGAGCCCCACAGGTTGACTAAGCTTCATACACCACAGACACATTGAGCCCCACAGGCTGACTTCATATATACGACAGACACATAGAGACCGACATTACTTGTTCACAAATCGACTTAGGTGGTGTGCCACAGCATCCTCCTTCGATGGTTTTACCAGGCCTTTATGCGCACCAAGTGTCCTTTTCTCCTTCTCTGCATCTGTATGACGGTGTTCTGCAAGTTCGGACCTCATGGACGATGCTGATAAACACCTCTCGACTACCCCTACCATGATTTATCTTCGGAAGTTGTAGCTTTTTGGTGTCTTCATCGCCTTCACCACATATCCTCCAGCAGGCTTCGAGTACTGCAGTTTGAACTGCAGTGCCCCCTTCTTGGTCTGTACCTGCTCACGGTCGATGTTGTGGTTGTGATCCAATGCAGCGAGGCGTGCCTGAAAGCTCTCCTCCGTGAACTTCTTGCGCTTTGGAACGTACTTTGTATACAAAGAATGGATGCTCTCCAGCTCGCCAGTATGGATCCCTTCTGTAACCTGCAATTGAACAGAGTGGGTCATGAATGTCAGCATTATTTAGCATTTTTGTTATTACTTAATTTGTCAGATTGCGAACTATTGGAGTCGAGAGATGCCAGACATGCAATTCTCAAACATCACTATTGAATAATCACCCATGGTTGGTGGATAATTCAAATACTGATATTAATTATGCATGTGTTTGTATTTTTTTTTATACATATTTTCAATTTCATATTTTACTGTTTGTTCAGGGCTACATCCGTTGAATATATTCTCTTTAGATAAATATACTGCTTTGTGGTGAATTTATAAGGCCAGAATATATAAATGAAGAAGGGCAATTAAGACAATACCATATCTAGGTTTTTCAACAGTCTCTTGTCCATGACCACTTTCTGTAGAGTGCCAAAGGCCTTGGATGAACGCTCCAACCAAGGTCGGGAACTCCCATCCTCTTCAGAATAAGGCTCGTGTTCACACTTAAGCATCTTCTCTGCCGACAGCCACTCGTGAACATTGATGATATGATGGAGGATGGACGTCCATTTCTCCTTCAGCAGTAACGCGTCACCATCACATGTACACACACAGTACCAAAGATGGTTGGATACCATGCGCACCCACTCCTTCAGCTCGGTATTCCTGCTCTGCAGCATCCGCTTCTTCACACCTTTCACAATGTGCCACAAGTCAAACTCATGCTTGATGGTCTTGTGGTCCTCACGTAGCATCTTCTGCACTGCAGGGTGGCAGTCTGTGGCTAGTATGGAAATTGTCACATTGTGATCCTGAAAAGATATTTACCATAAATTTAATTTAATAAAGCCAACATCTTCAATTTCTATCACACGGGTTTGATAGCCGCCAAAGTGTCCCAAGTCAAACTTAGAGGGCCAGGCAATTTTCTCATGTAAAATCACAATTTGGTCAATTGTAGGATTAATTTTTGCAACATGGAATTTAAGACTTATAAATTTAGGTGGATTTCTATATTTTCATGTGACAATGTTTGTCCGAAATCATGGCCTCTCTAGCATTACATGTAACAAATTTACATACATTATATATCTTTGGCTATCAGCAGAGATCCCATACAATGGCACAGGCAGACAGCTAGACATCACAACCTTTCTATTCCAAATTGACAATCGTTATTTAAAATTAGACAAAATATTATACAATATATTGTAGCAATACTACATGTACTATTGACCTGTGAAATAAACAAACTAACAATAGAATACCTGTAGTTTGGAAATACATCTTTCAAGTCCAACAGGCTCCAACCAGTAGCTATTTTTGACCTCTGTCACCTTCACTGTCTGCTGGGCAATGATGAGCCTTGAGTTGATATCAAGCATGGTGTACGTTCCAAACGTAGCACAATGACCAGGGCTGTCACATCGCCCATCCCCTGACATAGTGACAACCTGATCGCCAGTTGCTGCCATCACTGCCTCATTGTGCAAGTTCCAGACACTGGTAACTTCCGGCAGCACATACACTCTCTGGATGTTATAGCAGTGTCTTGTCGAGAGTGATTCCAGGCCCAGACACTGGCATATCTCAGAAAATGGGCCATAAGCATTTCCAGTCAGGAAAATCGCGGCTGGCACTAACAGGTTGCAGGACATTGTGCCATTTAAGAGGGGTTGAGAAGTCCACACAAACTCATGGTCATCTATGCAGTCAGTTTTCACTGTCAGTCCAAAGCCTTTGGCTGAACAGTACGGCCTGCTGATCACACATTTTCCGCATCCGGCAAAGTTGCATACACAAAACAGCTTCATCAGTTGTGCATGGGATACCAGATATTTTTTGTCTGACACTGGATCTTCTCCGCCATCCACTGAATGTTCTCCATCATCCTCGCTGTCTTCGCTGTCATTCTGTATAATGTCATCTTCAGTAGGGCTGTAGTCCGACGAAGAAGGCTCAGTCCCTGGAATGCTCTCCCCAGAGCTGGAAGCATCTTCTTCAGGCATTGACACATCAGGTGTTGGACTCGGTGGTGCTTTGGCCATTGCATCTGCAGGTGCCAGTGTGGCGGATCCACCAGCAATGTCCCTGCTGACGCAATATGGATGATCATGACTGAGCAACTGACTGTTGTTGATGTCATCGGTCCCAGTCTGCACACTCACCAAAGTCACAGTTTTACACGGGCATGGTTCCAGTGGTTCCGTCTGTGTGGCCACAGTCACTGACTGCCCACGTTTAGTTGTGTGTGCCTCCAGTACCTGGGAATCATCACTTGCATCATCAGCACCTATGCAGGATGTATCTTCTGTCTGACAGGACAACAATCCTGCAGCAGTATGGACAGCTCGTTTGACCTGAAACAAAACAATATAAATATGTTACAGGTTAAGGTGAACTAGAAATATTCAAAATCATGACTATGATAAGTTGGCCGGAAAAACCCCATCGCCACTATTTACCAATGTGATTATTCCATAATGGTAAAATAAAGAAACTGTTCATAGAAACCTAAGAATTAAAAGAATGTGATCGAGCCACCACAGCCCATCAGAGAGCAAACAATCAGCCTGAGCTCCATGGAGATGCCCTATAATTATTTAGACCTATGTGTATCTCGGCCGTTGGAAAAAAAATAGGAAAATATTTGTTTTTGAAGACTATTTAAGCAAACTCTCAAACTGTTATTACTCAGAGCAAAATATATTATTTATAAAGGATTGTGTTATTATTAAGCACATGTTCAGAAAATACTCAAGCAGGGCTAAGGATGGGCAGTCATTTTGATGAAGTATACTCCTACCAGGCTACCACATGTACCAGTGGTCAGTTGACATATATTTTGTATTATTTTCCAACACCTCATACATCTTGGCAATACCATCCATTGAACACCTAGTCCAGCAATACTAGCCTTTTTAGGATGAGCGTGTGTATGCCAGTTTAATTAGTTGAGCTATAGAACACCCCCAATTCTCCATTGTACGTCATAATAATAGCTACCATTTAGTTTGGACGCGATTGCGTTAATTAATAAGGTCACACTGTCAGTAAATACATGTGTGAGCTAGTAATCTGGTAGTGCTGCAATATTTACCTCTCTCTCGGCAGCTGAAGCAACTCGTTTGGTGGCTCGAACTTCACGTTTGTTGACACTGTCATTGTCTTGCGCGGCCGACGTGCTGGGACGGTCGGTGTTCCCGACTGCATACGTTGAGAAATCGAATATTGTGGGAACAGATCCTGGCTTCAAATCCGATGTTTTGTATTGAACCAGGCATCCAGACTCATCAAACCTCATTTTGTGGACATAATCGTCATTTTTAAAGTGTTCGCTGCACACACGTGCGTACTGATTCAGCGGCGGATCGGACCGTTTCATGGAAATAACCCATGCTTTGAGCAGCTTCTCATCCGTTAGTGGTAGCCTATGGAAATGTACTTCTTCCTTCTTCGTATAAAATCCATTTGTGCAGCCTGGGGCAATACAATAAACTCCTGACGACGACCGTTTTCTTTTAATGTAAACTACTGGTGCATTGCACGCCATGTTGTTTGTTATTGAGCTTTGGCCCAGGAAGCCGTACCCACTCAGTGACGTCACTGGGAAAGTCCCGGAGCAATGGAAGCGCCCATAGTCATTAGACACGTATTTCAAAAAATAAATTTGCGTATCTCGATCGTTTACATTGGAAATAGACTAGATAAATACATTTCCTAATGGGAATATTGTCGCATGGAAAGCAGTTTGAAAAGTGTTTCCATTTCCCTTTAACACACGCTGAAGAGCTTTTCATATTTTGTCCTAGAAGATAAAGTACATCAGTATAATATAATACCCCACTGGTAAATGTTTGAGTGGCTAAATGAGAGTACTTAGCATCATGACGCTGCCGTTAGCTTAGCGCTGATGACGTGCAGCAATGTGGTGTTAATATGTAGATCCTATCCTACTGGACAAAATGTGTAAGAATTAAAACTCACAATAGCTTTATGTCAATGGAGCCCTTGCGATGCAACTTGTTAGGACAGTCTACCAAAATACGCTTCCCCTGCACCTATGGTTTTGTGTCACCTTACAAGTCAACCAGATAGGATAAACTACTTATTTTAAACATTAATTGAAAAATAAATACACTAACACTACACAAATACAGCACAAGTATTAAAGTATTGCTCTGTACAGTTTATAAAGCTGTAAAAACTAAAATTAAATTCCTTATACCACAACCAATCCTTTTATCCACAACCAATCCCAATACACTTAAAGGCCACCAAATGGTAATTCTAGCATTTTCTTTTTGTAATACCTGAGCAGACGGATGTAAGGTGGAGGCTTCTGAATTTTTTCTCTTAGCACCGGCCCAATCCAAGGACGACCTGTAAGTCCTATTGCTGGGCAGAGACAACTCTGAAGTACCCTCATGCAGCATTTCATTAACATTTATGCTGCTATTGCCCGGCAATGCATTACTTCCATGACTTTGATGGACGAACAGCTTCAAATCAGTTTTACTTGTAGTCATCTTGGCATCTCCTGCATCTTCTATTTTGTCATTTTTCAGTTGCTCCCGACAACCAAGAGTCTCAACCTGAGATTCAAGGTCAACAGTTTCCATTGTGATATCAGCACAGGCGTCCTTCAAATTAGATGTTTCCAGAGGATCCTGGGGAGCCTCAATGTTATCAAGTGTCTCAGCATTTGACTGGTCTTCCTTCTTTTTACATGCATTTGAATCACCATCATCATCACCATTGGCTACAGGAGACTTCAGCTGTACATTCTGCTCTGGGGTGTCCTGACTTTGAGGTAATGCTTGTTGTTCAACCTCTGTTGTCACCAACACACATTCTTCCCTCACAGGTGTATCACCAATTTCATCTGTTAGCTTCATGTTTCTAGTGATGTCAGAAGGTTTACTCGCTTGTGTTGTAGCTTGCTCCGAGTCTTGAATACTGACAGTACCATCCAACTGAGCAGCTAATGGTACAGAAAGATCAGTGGGTTTATTGGCTGATGATATCTCAGATATTTTCTCTTCCGTTTTTTTCTCAAAAACTGGATTGGGACTTGACGGATGAGCGAGTGACTCAGCAAAGGTCTGGACCTCATCATGACCGAGACGTTGCACTTGTTGATTTACGTTTGTCTCAAGATCGAGACTTTGGTGCTCATCAGAACAGACCAAATGTCCTTCTTTCCTAGTCTCATATTCTTTCTTCACATGGCTGCAGTCAGCATCCTTCTCACTGACTGTCTGAGGAAGACTGTGAGAGCAGTCTGAGGTCTCACAGTCAGTCAGAGGTGGCTCAGCGTCCATGGAGTCAACAACCTGCTGTGTGTTGCTCTTCTCGATAGTCGTATCAGTAGTCGCCTGGACCCGTATCTGAGTTTCTGCTGTGTGCAGCCCTGTCTTTCCTCTCTCCTCTGCTCCACATGTCTCTTCTCCCTCTGCTATATCTTTTGTTTCTGTTTCAGGCTGTTTGGGGTCCCCTGCATCTTCTGTTGAGAACAGGCTATCTTCTCTTCCGTCGGCTCTATCTGTTGTTTGGGCCATGAGCGTTCCTCTCTTTTCTCCTTGGACTTCTTCTCTATTACACTGCTCTTCCTCGTTTCTTTCCCCCTCTTCAATCTGCGAGTCCACAGAAACATCAATAGACCTGTGGACAGGGCTTGATACAGCAACTACTGTTGAAAAAAAAGATTTTCAACAGTTGGTCAAATTGTACCAGTCATTAAATGCCATAGCTTCAAGAATAAAAGTAATAGATTGGCATAGGAATTAGTCCTCAAACCTGGAAATGAGTTAAAACAATGTCAGGTCCCTTGTCTCAAAGTAAAAAATATGTTTAAACATGTTTTTAGTTGATACCCATAAACGGTGGTTTTAGAGGTTTTCACGTTGCACTCTACGAGATAAAATATGTCAGGCAATACCCCACTGGTGAATGTCTGAAGCTTCTATGCATCTTAAAAATGGTGATGCTAACTTTCGGATCCTACAAAAATGTCCTCACTTTACCACTTTAGCTTTGTGCTTTAAAACATTTACCATGATACATGTTGGCACCACTCAGAATATGGCTGTCTTGTTTTCCTTTAACAAACCGCTTGTGTGATCTTAGTGAAATGCTGTGTTGATTACTATGAAACAAGTTATTTGTGTATGTTTATCTACTGTATGTTTGTATGTAGCTGGCTGACCTCCAGTTGCTCCAGTGGTGACTATCTCTGTCGCAGCTCCACTGTCCTCCAGACAGTCTGGGTATCTGGTCTGAGTGGAGGCCAAGTGCTGCACGCTGCCAGAGCTAAGCTCTGCGCTAGAGATCGGTTCATTAAGAGTTTCCTCTCCTCTGATTCCCTTCACTAAAGTGGAGAAGACCTCTGTAGAATCACTGTGGCTCGGACTGATGTCTCTCATCTGTGTATAGAAAAATAAAAAGGCAGGTGTTGAAGCTAAACAATTGCTTTTATTTCACCTATTAACACAACCCCATCAGAGGTGTGGTTAATGGATGTAGGGGAGTTTTGTTGATGTTGTTAAGTGTTTTTGTTATCAACCACACATGTTGGATGTTCAATTACATTTGCTTTTATTCACACTTGTTACAGTAGGTGACACCACATACAGGTGCACAGTTCACTAACCAACTCATTTAAGAATTCAGTCATATTAACCAGCATCGCGACGGTACTGAAATACATTTGTCACAAGTTCATATCACAACAACACAGTTTGTTTTGTCTTTGTCACAGACATATTTAAAAGATGTACTTTTTTTAACATAACTTTATATGAACAATAGCCCCTTCTCTATTGGCCTTTATTTTGATTGCTTAATTTATTTGTTTAAATTTTTTTTTATTAGTAATGTATTTATTAATTGTGTCCATTTCCGTTTAGTAATGGAGTGGGTACACAGGTTCCATGTGTGCAGATTATTTTAACCTCTAACTTAAATTGAATATCCTTTTTTGTTTTTGTCTTATGTTATGTGCCAGATTGTTAAGGCACTTTGAGCCTCATCATGTGTAGGTAGAGTGCTATGAAATAAAGCCTTATTATTAATTATTGTTTTTCTAATTATAAGAATATTGTATTTATCCCGAGGCCAAATTAAGTTGTTACAGATGCAACATTCTAGAATAAAATGAATGAATATTAATATAAATGTAATAATGAATGATTTAATTATGATGAATATAATGTTTTGTACCTCCAATTCCTCTCTATGCTGAGCCTGCACTGAAGCCTGTGAGGACAGTTCAGTGTTTTTCTGATGAAGCTCGTCGTTAGCCTCTTTCACAGCTTGAAGTTCCTGCTGCTCACTCCTGATGCGACCCAGAAATATGGCCTTCTGTTGGATCCAAAAGCACAGAGACAGATTTAAAGGGACATGATTTCTCTTTCAAGATGTTTCAGTAAAGCAAACAACATTAAATCACTTCCATTTTTTGGCATTATAATCTACCTTGTGAAAATATTTTTGTGTCATATAAAAATGTCAACATCACACTGCTTCTCCCACACTTTTTCTTCTACCTCTTTGTCCCAGCTGTTCTGTGAAGCCATGTAGCTCTCCATCAGTCGGGCCACCTTGTCTTCCAGGGCCTTGCTTTTCTCCCGCATCGCCCGGTGCTCCTGCTTAAGGGCCTGCAGTAAAATTAATCACCCATAGGATTTGTAATGCAATACTAAATTTGTATGTGTTTATTTAACGTGAACAGAAGGTCTTAAACAGAGCAGGGATAGAGAAAGGACTTTTTGCTAATACAAATCAGTTGGCTTGTGTCATTTTAATAATGATTTTAATAAATGAATGAATAGGTGAATTAAAAATGAGAGAACAGAGAGAAGAAAAGAGAACAATAAAGTGTAAAGCCATAAATGGGGTAAACAAACTAACTATCATTCAGTTGCGGAGGGGACCGTATTCACTTATGTATATTTAAGCAATAGCTCACGACAGGCCGTGGTATATGCTCATTATATCACAGCTAAGGGGCGTGGTTCGGCCCGACGCGAAGCAAATTTGACTTGTCCGTTTTATAACAACAATTATAAAACGGACAAGTCAAATCAAGCAATCTGATTGGTTCTTAGCCGTGATATACTGAGTGTATACCACGGGTATAATTGTAAGTTACTTTTCACAACAAGTCAGTATCCCTCCGCGTCTGAGAAATACAGTATACCGTTGGGCTGAAAAGCAAACTGCTTTTCATACTGGAACAAGAAAGCAGCGGAGAAGTAACGGGGCAGAAACCCTCCTTTTTACGCAGCGGTCCAGACATAGACATCAAACGGCAAAACATATTCAGTGTGCAGTTCCTTTGGCATTAGGGCAGGGATATCTAGATACTTTCCAAGGTTTGACATCATGAATTGTGCTACTTTTAAAGCAAGCAACGATGTTTTCAAATCTGTAATCAAAGAGGTCCGCAAAAACACTATCGACCAATCAGATTGCTTGATTTGACATTTCTTCCGTTACAAAACAAACTTACAAAGCATAAGATCGAAACATTTAAGATTGAGCAGTGCCTATCTCCATAAAAAAAGCACCTAAAGTTGAGCTACGTGAAGAGCAGGTAGACCAACTGGAGAAGTACCACCATTCAAAAGCTTTCTGATGCGGGTCTTGAAACAAAGCAGAGAAATGATGACCGTTAGTGGCCACAGGTGCGAAAGCTCTCTCCAGAGCTACTGGCAGCCAAATCTCGGGGACCGGAGAAAGTGGAGCAATATTCTCACCACGCCAAACAACAGCCTAGAACAACCTCAACCTATACAAGTGACCTCGTAAGCCATGCTACTGATAATGGACAGGTTTTCAGTGGGTGCACATTAAACAGCAACAAACACATGAATGTAAATAAATAGCCAAATATTGGATCAACGCTCTCTGTCTAATATGTTCTCTAGCTGTTAGTGTTGTTGCATAGCAACCACCTCGCACTATGTTTCGTGCAGAAGGCAACGGAGGGACTATTTTATTTTGAACATCATTATTTACTAATAAAAACTATTTAAATTAGAGTGTGTATTTTTCTTTCATATTGCCACACTTGGTAACCGTTTTATAAAAGCAATAGCTCACTTCAGGCCGTGATATAATGAGCAGACAGTATACCACGGCCTGTCGTGAGCTATTGCTTAAATATACAACGGCACATTCATCACATTGATGGGAAGAAACTATGGCCGTTATTTATTTCTGTCCTTGTGTAAATTGACTTCATAATCATTTAAATAGACCCTGAAAAAGCCCTTGTGAGGCCAATACATGGATCGACCTGTAAAAATACACCACATTCTCTATCATAAAAATAAATGTTGACTTAGTTCTTTTAAGGCATCAAACTGAACAACAATTAAAAGGGCCCTATTATGCTAATTTCAGGTTCATATTAGTATTTTGTTCCTCTACTGGGACATGTCTCCATGCTTTAATGTTCAAAAAGCTCTTTATTTTTCTCATACTGCCTGTGCTGCAGCACCTCTTTTCACCCTCTGGGTGTTTCTCAATGTCAAGGAAGGCTGCTCCAGAGCCACTATTTCAAGGATGCTACGTCATCGAGTCCTGCCGAAGGACTGTTCCAATGTCCAGGCTCCTTGGAATTCTACCAAGCACGGCGTCCTTCGCAGCGAGAAATGTCGAGGCTGCACATGTGTATCCTCCGCGGTCTTAAAATCCCCACAATGCTTTGCGCATGTACCAATTTCCAAATCTTTGGTGGAAATCGCGCTCCATTTAAGGTGGGGCCTCGCATATGCCTGTTAGCCTGTTAGCCTGTTCCACCATTCTTCGTTTTCCGAGGCTAGGAAGGATTCTTGCCTCGCTTCTGAAGGAAGTGACTCGGAAGACATGTCCTAGCAAGGAAGCATCCTCGACATTGAGAGACACCCTGTCTGAAACCAGAGCCCAGTCTGCTCTGATTGGTTAGCTGGCCGGCTCTGTTGTGATTCATCAATCGCTAAGATATATTCTGCCCCTTAACAAATCATGACGTGATGTGTCGGATCTCTAGCCAATAGTAACACGAGTGTCACAAAGTGATGTCACTATATTACAGAAGTAAACAAAGGAGTCCAATGGAGGTGTTTTAGGCAGGGGGGGGGGGAGGGGGGAGTGTGTGGGAGAGAAACCCTCTGGAGGGAACACAGGGGTGTAAGCCTTTGCAGACCATTTACATGCACTAAAACGTATAACACACTACAGGAAGGGAAAAACCCGATAAGCACAAAAAGAATTTCTTTCTGTTTCCTGTTAACAGCCCATTATAATTGTAAACAGCTGTAGGTGTCTTTTAAATAAAGCCCATTCTGGAAGATGGGTATATGGCCAGTTCTATAGATACTCAATAGAACTTTTTTTTATTTCTAATGTGGATATGTATATATTTTATTATTAGTAAACATCCTGCTGTAACAATTTCCCAATTTGAAATCCATAAAGTACATCTAATCGAATCTAATTAAAAAGTACTTTTAGTATGAACAGCAGTAGCATGTGAGCTACAAATCTGTACTGTTGTTTATGGGAACAATATGAACAGTTATGTTCATGAATCAGCAGAGGATGAAAGTGTGTGACCTGCTGCTGCTCTCTCTGTGTCTTCATCTCCAGATCGACTCTGCTGACTGTCTGCGTCTGACACAGCAGCAGCTGCTGGGCATGCTGCATAGCCCTCATCACTTCCTATACAAACACACATACATACATTTTTGTATACATAATGAAGTCATGCAACATGACACTTCATTGACCAATGAAGTGTCATGCAACATGACACTTCATTGACCAATGAAGCGTGCTTCTAGCTTATTTTCACTTCCTCCAGTGAAAGAAAAAACCCTTTTAATTGTATTTTGAACAGAAATGAATCCTCCAAGATGACCACACCCACACACATATCAGTGTAGAAAAAGCATCAGGTTTTGTCTCTAGTTTTGTACCTGCTTTTCTGCTCTCACAGCTTCATTTTCCTCTCTTAGTTTCTTGTTCATTTCAGTTTCCTAAACAGAAATACAGAATCATAAGTGAAATACTTATAGCTTACCTGCTAAGTGTGATTATTTATCAGTGTGATCTTGATCAGTATCATATTGCTTTGAGGCTATTATCTTCCTATTATGATCCTTTTCACTGATTGTTACCATGTTGAGTTTCTGGTGCAGCTGCTGGAAATGCTGCTCTCTGCCTGTAGGACTTTGGGCCTGGTCATGTCTCACTGAAGACATCTTGGCCTTGATCAGCTTGTTACTAACCTCCTCCACCTCCTGAGAAAGCACCATGCATGAACAAATTATAAAAGTAGAGAATAATCCAAGTTGATTACTTACTGTAAATACATTTGTATTTCTTACAGGCTATTTCTTAGACAACCATGGAACTGTAATGGATTGAATACAGTATTACAGTATTGACTATGGATGCAGTTAAAAAATGCTAAATCATTAAGCATTCTTTTCCACATACCTTTTTTAGTGACACAATGGTTGCCTCTTGTTTTTCACATGCAGTTGTCATTTTCTTATTTATTTTCATTGCCTCATCAACTGTAAGAAGTACACAAGGTAAGACACCATCATTAATACATGCTATGTGACACAACTGAATTAGTCTTACATTAATGTGTGAGAGTGACACACATGTAGGGAGATACAAAGAGATTCAGAAAAGCAACAATAACTTATATACTCACCTATATTGAATATTTTCAATGTAGTGGTCCTTAAGCATTTCAGTAAATGTGTAATGTAATGTTTAATGTAATACTTTCAGTTTTAAATGAAAGATGACTGAGGCGAAATGAGCCAACAGTATACCTACATTTACATTAACAGAGATAGTGAATTTGAAATGGAAATAGAATTTGAGATAAGTGTGTTTAAAAACAGGCAATGTAGATGTTACACTGTACTGCAAAGTTGTGAGCTTCCAACAGAGCCGGCCAGCTAACCAATCAGACAGAGGGTGAAAAGAGGTGCTGCAGCACAGGCAGTATGAGAAAAATAAAGATCTTTTTAAACACTAAAGCATGGAGACATGTCACAGGAGAGGCGCTAATTACAAATATGAACCTGAAAATGAGCATAAAATGGCCCCTTTAAAAGTAAAAATGTTTCTCCTTTAAACGGTGGCAGTGCAGAGTATTATTTTCTCTTTGACTGAATGGGCAAGACATATGATTTGAGCAGCTTTGAACATGAAAAGCTTGATTTTGAGACTACAAAGTCTACATTTAAACAATAAATAGTGATAAAGACTAAATATTCCAATCACTGGATGTCCACTCAACAAAACAACATGCTATTTGTCAAAAGGTCATATCAGAACGCACAAAGCACCTGGGCTACAGCAACTCTTGGTAATTCATTTCACAGCAGGGTGCATATTTGTTGTCAACCGTATGAATCCATGTAGCCATATCAACAGGCTGCTAGTATTATTGTTGTGGGAATGCGTTATGGGCTAAAATAAAGCCCCATGGTAGCAACTGGGCGAGGTCTAACACTAAACATTGTAGCTGACCTGGGAGGTCTTTCCATAGCCAGTTTTCTCTGTATGAAATATCCTGGAGGAGCATTTAAAGAAACTTGACAGTGACCTCTCCTCATTACCCAGATTTGACCCAAAAATAATGTATTTGGGATGAAGTGAAAGTGGATATTATTTGCAGTAATTATTGAACTTCAAAAAATTCTGCACAAGCCGAGTCACTCTACTCAAATCAGCAGGGACTAACATCTCTGTGAGTTGTTTCCAGCACCTTGTTACATTTATACCCTCAAGAATCCATGCTGATATCGGAGCTAAATAGGGCATCTAATAAAGTGAACACTTGGCTTTCAGCATAGTAGAATTTGTAACCCATCAGCCATCAGCATATATATACCTTTCTGTTTACATATCCATACCTACATTCCTACATCCTTTAATTACCATTTTGCTCCAGTTTCTCGTGGGCCTGCTTGACCACGGCACACTGCCTGGACAGGGCACTGAAACGCTTCTCCACCTCTCCCAGCTGGTTCAGGTGGCTGTCCTTTGACCGGGTCTGCAGGGCTAGTTTCACCTCCTGTGGAATAGGTATAGGTCAAACAGACCAAAAAAACAAACAAGTGCCCCCTATGTATAAAAACAAGACCTGAGCACAGATGCAATGCGAAAAAGAAACAATCCTCAACAAGGATAAATTGTGAAAATGTTTCTTATTAAAAAGGACCTGTGTGTATGATTAGTGTGGTTTAATTGTCAGAAACTGGATATTATATTCATAACTATGTTTTTATTAATGTAAAATCACTTAAAACTTAGAATACTTGTAGATTGTAATACTTGTTACAATCTACAACCTGATCACAACTGAAGCACGGAGTTTGGACCGATGGAGAGGTGCCAGTTTGTCCGAGAGCAAGAAGACCAACACCCCAAAACTGCTCCAGGGGCACAATATTATCTCTGTCCCTACGCCCCCTCTTAAAATAAAAGCATGACTTTGTTGTTGTATCAAAGAGGGATCTGTGACAAGATAGATTTGAATTGCCTTACGTGAATTTGGCTTTTGTGAAATTGCATTGTGTTTATTGACAAAAAAAAGCATCTTTTTGATTCCTACAAACAGTTTTGAACTTGAATGCAATGGTTAAACATTAGGGAAAAACATATCAAGTAACGTCCAGCGGCTGGTTAGTTTGGCCTAAAATAAAGAATAGGAGCAGAGTGAAACCCGAGGTCGCAGAATCCACTTAGTGATCTAAAGGCTCCAGGAAGTCACCGTAAATAAATCTCGCCCATCACATGGATGTATAAAGAGAACTGGACACAGTGTTAGAGGCGGTCCCCGTTCATACCTTTAAAATGTGCCCAGCGGCGCATGCAGTCAAAATGCCCTGATAGGGCCCGTACAGAATGCAAACTGTTTTTTATGAGGGGCCTTTAGTTTAGGTACATTATTCAGAAATACCCTTCACATACACTTGTGAAACACTCTCACACACACATGAAATCCAAAGTTATTTACATTTACATGTGAAACACTCACACACACATATATGAAATGCTCTCAAACACACATGAAACGTTCTCACACACATGAACCGCTCTCACACGCTCTCACACACGCGGCCCTGGTATCATCCCACCCATTTGTTAAGGGACTTTCAATGTTACTACAGTAGTAATACTGTGCTTTACGTCATCCCAGTAATTAACCCAGAATTGTATACATTCGATTAAAAAATGCTTTCATTCTTCAATATGGAAGAAAAAGTTTTAAAAAACTCAACGCAGTTAACACAATAAGATGTCATACATCGGAAATGACTAACATTTATCATCTTTCCTCTTTGTCTCTTATCTATAATTCTCCATTATAATGCTTTTTTAATCTTTATTTTCTTTTTTCCCCTCAACACCAGTAAATCAATTGCAGTGTTGTGCTTGATATCGGGGTGCACAGTCTCTAAGGGGAGCTGCAGTGGGCCGTTGCCCATCGCGGGACGGGAAGAGGGACGATAGCTGACCGTCCAGGGTGTTCCCACTTGCAGCTCCAACAGTCGTTTGTGGCCCAGTTGTGGCCACATTCGATAGCGTTCGAATAGTCTCAGCTGAGGCCAGGATATTACTTAACAACGCTGCTGCATCAGTTAAGCTTTGTGCAAGCTGCTGAGCAGACATGATGGAATGGAACAATCGCAAACGGAAAGACGAAAAATATTGTTTTCGCTTTTTTGAAATTCGCGGTTCTTCACTGTTTGTTAAAAACGACTTCCGTTTCAACTGAAATCCCTCTCACACAACATACTGAAATCCCTCTCACACAACATACTGAAATCCCTCTCACACAACATACTGAAATCGCATTATGTGTGTGTGTGTGTGTGTGTGTGTGTGTGTGTGTGTGTGTGTGTTTCACACGTGTATTAGAGCATTTCATATGTGTGTGTGTGTGCGTTTCACATGTGTATTAGAGCATTTCATGTGTGTGTGTGTGAGTGCGTTTCACATGTGTATAATATATGAGTGAGTTTCATGTGTGTGTGAGTGCGTTTCATATGTGTGTGTGAACGGTATTTCTGAATAATGTCCAGTATGGCCCCTCATAGTTTTTGCGCGTTTTCCTAAAGCCCTGCCAACAATTTGGTTCACCACGGTAGCCACACGCCTGGTCCCGGCTCACTCAAATGAATGGAGAGGGAAAATAACTCTGGATTTGGCTTTTAGTAAATTTCACAACTTTTAATGATTTAATGATGGCTATTCAAGTTATTGTAGGGGTAGTTGAAAAAAAATTGTACTCTGAAATTAGAAAAAGGAACTATATAAATCAGTCAATGGGAAAAAAGTATTCTTGGTCCCAATGACGTGACTGACCTGGAGTTGTAGTAACACCAATTAGCCACAATGCAAAGGTGCTTTAACTTCCTACCTTCCTGGCACATAACTCCTTGTAAGACCCAGAATTGTCATTTCCAAACCCTGTTATTTATATGAAACAAAACAACATGTAAATAAGTGATCTTTACTGGTAGGCTGATTTGCTGCTGGCTCTAGGTCTGGGAAAAGCCAATCATGAGGATAAAAAGCATTTTGAACCTTTTCATTAATGAAAGGAGTTATCCTTTAAAAAATAGGAATGCTTCATAAAGGTTACAAAGTTTTAAGCCAGGCACAAAATCCGAGGAGGCCAAAAGCAGTTACACATTTTGTCAGATTAGTATCCTCTTCCTGTCACTGTTTTTGTTACTGAGAGGATCGTGGTTTAAAGGTCCCATGACATGCTTTTTCGGTTATTACCCGTCCCCTTGTGTGTTATGTAGCTTTTTATGCATGTGGTGTCAAACTCAAGGCCCGGGGGCCAAATCAGGCCTGTGACTTCATTTTCTGTGGCCCCACAAGAGCTTGCAAAGAATATTATATGTGACCTGCTCTATCGAAATCAGTCGCATTGACCCGAAGACACATTTTGAGTTGTATAGACTGCTGGAAAGAGGATATTCCTAGCTTTCTAATGATATCAGGATTGTTTTTGTACTCCAAATATTAAGCGAAATATGTTACATTATATAATGACTGTCACCGAGTCATCATTTTGAGAAAAAGGCCTTCAAAGTTTTCTCTTCTCTGGAATCCATCGATCTGATTGATTATTAGCAAATGATCAAAATACTACGGAGGGAAGATATTTTCGTTTGGATTACTGGTCTGGGGGAAGCTTGCGAGTGTGTGTGTATACGTGTGTGTGTGTGTGTGTGTGTGTGTACGTGTGTTTGTGTAATTTTGCGTTTGTGTGTAACGTTACAAGCTTCAAAGTTGTATTTATCATCTGAATTTGCCGAAACAAGTTTAATATTCTGAAAGCCAAGACTTTGTTTAATTGAAATCAGATGAAAATAAACTGTAACGGACCCTGCCGTGTTATCTATGATTACTATACGCTTACATTCATAATGTCAGCCGGAGGGAGGGGGGGGGGCGCTGCGGAAGAGCAGATTGCCTGTCATCTTCCCTTTACAAGCTTAAAGAATGTATTTATCGTGTGAGTTTGGAAATAAAAGTTTCATATTCTGAAAGCCAAGACTTTGTTTGTTTAAAATCAAACAAAACACCCAAACTCCGAAAAAATTGTTTTTTACGCAAATCCACGTTTATTTTGAAATGAGCCGTTGCGACTTTCGACTGATTTCAATAGAGCGGGTCACATATGTTTATTATACGGTTACATGATGATTTACAGAAGCACGTTGCCCATAAACTACATGTCCCACAATGCATCTCAAATCTTTTTTTTTTTTAAATGTCACTTCTGTTTTTGACTTTTTTCCAGAATTTGCCTTTTCTTTTTAAATCATTTTGTGCGTACTGAAGAGACTTGCAATTGTTTGCCCCAGACTTCTGCTTTCAGACGTAGTTAATTATGAAGTTATTACCCTATCCAATAATAATCCAATGCAGAGGCAATAATGTAATATAATACATTATTTTATATATATATTATTTATATATGTATTTTTACATATCTTAAAGTTACAACCGGCCCTTTGAGTGCAGCCATAATGCTGATGTGGCCCGCGATTAAATTGAGTTTGACCCCCCTGATGTAAACGGTCTGCAAAGTCACAAACCCTCAAAGTACATCCTGTAGCGAGTAAAACTCTAACACAGAAAAGACCTGTCTATGCTGCCCCAAAACGGAGATTTTTCTTTTAAAAAATTTTTCTTCCGGGAACCAAGTGACGTAACGACGATCCAATGGACCTATTGGTCCAAATGGACCAATCCACGGAGCCGTTACGTTACATCCGCGGACACACTCAATATTTTCTCAGCTACAGCTCCGCGGATTTCTCAGCCTGAGACGGCGGGACGCGACGAGGCTGCGGGTGTGTGTGTGTATGCTCGGGCTGGTTTCGCTGTGTCTCGCTGTCTCGCGGACCCCACCCAGCAACCAGAAAACCACACCAGTAAGCCAGCTCACACTGTCCGCTCCTCGCAGCAGCGAGCCTCGCAACGTCCCGCCAACACGGCACCCAGACCCCATGCAGCATTCTCATCTGTTTGTCATTACTGGTGTCATTTTCTGGTTGCTAACAAACGCCATTGTAAAACATAAACACTGATGTTCCGCTGTAACGGTGGTGGACTTATCAGAACAGAGTGGGCGAGCTGACCAATCAGAGCACACTGGGCTCATAGGGAGGGGGGGCAGGAGCTCCAACAAGCCGTGTAGGACAGAGAGTGAATACACATACTTTACAGAGATGCTGTATGAGAAACCAATGTGAGTTAGGAACATTGAACAATGTAAATCTATTCTAGTAGACCTCGACAATGGAATTATGATCAGTAGAAATGGCCATGACATGGGACCCTTAACACAGCTATTGCACGTCCCTTCAGTGTTTCCCCTAGGATGGAGTCATAGCAGCGGTGCTAAGGCACGTGGGCCCAGCATAATGTGAGCGCGGAGAATTTTTTAGTGTGTGCACGTGCGAAGTGCACCGCGCCGATTTGTTTCTATGAGTCTGCCAGCACAAAAAAGGCTCTTGAGGCCTAGTACCAGGCCGGTTCTAGCCAATTTGCTGCCCTAGGCGAGATTTTATAAAGAATAAATGAAAAATCTCTACTAAAGACAAATACACTACAAAAATAGAAACTTATTGACATAGGTAATATACGTCAAAATGGCTTCAAATGTATTCAGTATTGTATGAACATGTTTTAATTGGGGGGTGAACGTCACATCCTCTGGGGGGTCCGGGGTATGATTTTTTTTAACATAAAGTAAAATGCTTCAATCTGGTGCACTTTGAGCACACAATTACTAGAGACCTGATCTAGGGGGTACAACTCTAAAACACCCATATGAAAAAGATCGGTTTACATTTTAATAATCAAATAAGTATATGAACATAACTAGGGTTGCAAAATTCCGGGAATTTTCAAAGATGGAAACTTTCCATGGGAATAAACGGGAATTTATGGGAATAAACTGGGAATTTTCTAAATTGAAGGTTGGCTCTTCATAGGGAACTTAACCCTCCGGTATCATTCGATTGGACTACGCAAATTAGTCATTCGAGACAAAAATGTCCACTGCAAAAGACTTTGATAAAAACATTATATTAAAAGGTTTTTTTCACAACTTTTTTGGGTTCAATCTTTAAAGCAACTTCCGCCCTAATAGAAAATACCAAAAATGTAATCATTCTCAGGATTTTAACCCTTTAAATGCCATTTTGAAAACATGAAACTGCTGTTTTTTTTCATGATGAAAACAGAGAAAATGAGTTATTTTCCCAAAAATACATATCTGGGGACTGGCTCTTTTTTTTTTTACAACAGTCTTGGATATGTCAAAGATTAGCAACAAAATGGATTTTTTTGCATTATTAGTTTTTGCACAAAATCAGATTGAACAAAAAAGTTACAAATTAGTCATTCGGGACAAAAATGTCCACTTCCAAAAACTGCTCTAAAATGAACACAGATTAATATTTTTTTAAACTTTTTGGGGCTAAATCTTTCAATCAACTTCAGTCCTGATCAAAAATACCAAATGTTAAATTATGTTCAGGATTTTAACCCTTGAACTGCCAGTTTGAAAACATGAATTTGCGTTTTCTATGAAAAACATGCACAAAAAGGCAGTTATTTTCCATATAATAAATGTTGGGGGGGTCGGCTTTTTTTTTTTTTTAAATCACAGTCTTGGGTATGTCAAAGATTAGCAACAACATTTATTTTTTTGCATTATTAGTTTTTGCACAAAATCAGATTGAACAAAAAAGTTACATATTAGTCATTCGGGACAAAAATGTCCACTTCCAAAAACTGTTCTAAAATGACAACAGATTAATATTTTAAAAAACTTTTTGGGGTTAAATCTTTCAATCAACTTCAGTCCTGATCAAAAATACCAAATGTTAAATTATGTTCAGGATTTTAACCCTTGAACTGCCAGTTTGAAAACATGAATTTGCATTTTCTATGAAAAACATGCACAAAAAGGCAGTTATTTTCCATATAATAAATGTTGGTGGGGTCGGCTTTTTTTTTTTTTTATCACAGTCTTGGATATGTCAAAGATTAGCAACAACATTTATTTTTTTGCATTATTAGTTTTTGCACAAAATCAGATTAAACAAAATACTCACACATTAGCCACTCACGTCCCATCCACTCCCATTATAACCACATATTTTGATCTCTCCACCATACCGGTATATAATCATGCATTTTATAATGTCAGGGTTTTATATTGGAGGAAAATAGTTAAATGTGTCCCTTTTTACTGTATATCACCAGATGTGACATTTTACCATTGAATTATATGACCTATAAAAACACTGAAGTAATACTATTTTCAACTTTCTCTGAAATCATTTTTAAATCAGCATCAGATGTATCAATGTCAACATTTATTTTCCAAACAGCAAACTGCAATCAACATTCATGAACAAATCATACTATGGTAACAGCAGCCGGTGTACGAGGTGGATGCTTTCTCCGCATGATTTTTGCAGACACCAGAGATCTCCCCAACTCCTCCAAGAAAAGCCTCCTCCTGAAGGACTTGGCTTGCTTCCAGGAGGGATCCACAGCAGTAAAAAGCACAAATGCATGAAGGCAGAGACATCTATCATGTTGTGGAAGAGGACCTGTGGCCACCGATGGGTCATCCTCCTGCAGCTGTAGGAGCCCACAACCTACAAAAGACCAATACAAAATGAATTCAAATATTCTTTTAAATTATTAACAACTGTATCATGTATTATTTATATACTGGTAATGCCTCCATACCTTGTCTAGGTTGTCGACAGCTCCCTTGCAGTGGTTGTAGTCTGCAATGATCACAGGTTTCCTTTTCTCCTCCTCTGTCACAGCTGGGTCCCTGTGTTTGCTGCTGAGGAGGAGCACGTTTCTCCCCCGTTTGGGAATGTAGCTCACCGCTGTGGTGTTCTTGGTAAAACCAAAAAGAGAGGAGAGGGCAGCTCTCTGCCTCACCTGCAGGAGTTTGGATGGAAGCTCAGGCTTATTTCTTCGGATGGTTCCGACAAGGGCCACTTTCCTCTTTAGTAGCTCCTGCACAAGTGCATATGACGTGAAAAAATGGTCACAAGTCACAGTGATCCCTTGGAGCCCCTCTGTCATTTCCAGGACGACACGCTTTCCCTGGCCCACCTTGGCAGCACTGCCAGCAGCTTTACCGGTGTAAATCTGGCACTTCCAGGCATAGGAGGTTTCAACGTCAGCGGTGACCCAGATTTTTAGCCTATACTTTGCTGGCTTGCTTGGTATGTATTGCCGGAATTTGCAGCGGCCTCTGAAGGGGACAAGCTGCTCATCCACACACACACACATCTTCACCAGGGTTGCAAAGCATCGGAAGGCGATGTGTCCACTTCTCCCAGAGAGAGCGGATGGGGGCAAGCTTGTCCTCTCTGTGACGGGAAGGTCTCATCAGCTTGTCGTCAAACCGGAGGGTGGTATTCATCAACCGGAATTTGGTGTGGGTCATTGTGGCACGGAAGATGGCACGTCCACTGTGGTCAACCCAGAGGCTGCGGATGGATTCGCCCTTCGATTTGTAAACTCCAGCCAATATCAGGAGACCGATATATGCACGAATATCTGTGGCATCCACATCACTCCAGTTTGCCACCGAACGTCCCCCCTGCAAGTTTGTCATGTCGACAATACTACTGATGATCTCAGCAGTGAAAAATAAATTGAAGGAGGATTCCACGTCATCAATTATTGTAATGGCATAACGCGTGGGCCCTGGAACCAAACCTCTGGCAGCGGGAATGTAGCGCAGCGTGTCGTTGTTAGAGGGAGACCAGATTTCACCATTTTTTGATGTCCACCCACTGCCAGAATCTTCTGTTTCCTCTGCAGTTTCAGCAGAAGGGTCAGAAGAAGAAGGATCAGACTCCACTACAAACTCCACATCACATTCTTCTTCTGAGGTTGTTTCTGATTCAGAAGAAGAGTCAAGCAACTCGCTGGAGGTTGCCGGCTGCATCACCATATCCCTAGCTTCTTCCACAGAGAAGCGCCTCTTCATCTTACTCGCTTGTTGCGTATCACAGGAATGAAACGACCAGCCAGCCAAACTACACATATTTATGGATCTGGCTTTGCAGCCAGGTGTTCGCTTATTGTCTTAGTGCATGTATGGCTGTGTATGTTTGTATGCTAAAGAGACATTATCAAAGCCTTTGAAGTTCCAAACAATTCAAAACAACAAGGTCAAGCTGGGTCAAGATCATACCTCTGTTTACCTCTAAGACACATGAAACAGCACAAATGAAAACAAAATGCCACGAGAGAACACATACTCCTACATTCTCACACACATCAAAGGTAAAGAGATGACGGGAAAATTGCGAATGCTGTAAACTGTAAATCAAGACATGACAAGCATGTAATTCAATGTAAAATGTCACATCTGGTGATATACAGTAAAAAGGACAAATTGAACTATTTTCCTCCAATATAAAACCCTGACATTATAAAATGCATGATTTTATACCGGTATGGCGGAGAGATCAAAAGATGTGGTTATAATGGGAGTGGATGGGACATTTTTGTCTAATCTGATTCTGTGCAAAAACTAATAATCCACCAAAATAAATGTTGTTGCTAATCTTTGACATATCCAAGACTGTGATAAAAAAAAAAAAGCCGAACGTCCCAACATTTATTATATGGAAAATAACTGCCTTTTTGTGCATGTTTTTCATAGAAAACGCAAATTCATGTTTTAAAACTGGCAGTTAAAAGGTTAAAATCCTGAACATAATTTAACATTTGGTATTTTTGATCAGGACTGAAGTTGATTGAAAGATTTAACCCCAAAAAGTTTTTTTAAATATTAATCTGTTGTCATTTTAGAGCAGTTTTTGGAAGTGGACATTTTTGTCCCAAATGACTAATATGTAACTTTTTTTGTTCAATCTGATTTTGTGCAAAAACTAATAATGCAAAAAAAATAAATGTTGTTGCTAATCTTTGACATACCCAAGACTGTGATAAAAAAAAAAAAAAGCCGACCCCACCAACATTTATTATATGGAAAATAACTGCCTTTTTGTGCATGTTTTTCATAGAAAACGCAAATTCATGTTTTCAAACTGGCAGTTCAAGGGTTAAAATCCTGAACATAATTTAACATTTGGTATTTTTGATCAGGACTGAAGTTGATTGAAAGATTTAACCCCAAAAAGTAAAAAAAAATATTAATCTGTGTTCATTTTAGAGCAGTTTTTAGAAGTGGACATTTTTGTCCCGAATGACTAATTTGTAACTTTTTTGTTCAATCTGATTTTGTGCAAAAATTAATAATGCAAAAAAATCCATTTTGTTGCTAATCTTTGACATATCCAAGACTGTTGTAAAAAAAAAAGAGCCAGTCCCCAGATATGTATTTTTGGGAAAATAACTAATTTTCTCTGTTTTCATCATGAAAAAAAACAGCGGTTTCATGTTTTCAAAATGGAATTTAAAGGGTTAAAATCATGAGAATGATTACATTTTTGGTATTTTCTATTAGGGCGGAAGTTGCTTTAAAGATTGAACCCAAAAAAGTTGTGAAAAAAACCTTTTAATATAATGTTTTTATCAAAGTATTTTGCAGTGGACATTTTTGTCTCGAATGACAAATTTGCGTAGTCGATTTGTTACACAGTGAATTAAAGTCGATTTGAAAAATTGAAATTGGAATTCCAAAATAGATCGAGAAAATAGCCTTGTTACAAAAATTCAGGCCGTTTGCACCAACACAACCAAAGTTATTGCAAAATGAAAAGTGAAAAATGACCCATATGGACAAAAACGTCCACAGTGATACCGGAGGGTTAAATATAGTTGGGGAAAGTATATTTTAGCATAATCTTGACTAAAACAAACAGATGTCATTCAAGTACAATTGAATATCCATGCCATAGCATACTGCTTACTACATGGCTATTGACACCACACAAAGGTTCGCAACAGGCTCACAAATGTGAGAGTGGAAAACTGGTTGGCATCCGGGCAAACCTAAGGCTCTTTGAGCCTGACACAGAGCCATCCTCAACAAGGCTGGACAGTGACACTGCAGAGGAAGACTCAGAGTTGGATGTTAAAGAAGCCCAGGAAGAGCCCATTGACTGAAAGGGTTTAGCAAAAATGCAGAGGATTGCTTGAAGGAAGATTTGCCTGTTTAATGGGACTTTTTGGAGGGAGAAGGGCTCTTTTCATTTAACATTTTGAATGGGACTTTGTGGGGATTTTTGGATGGGGGGTGCATTTTGTTCATTTTTTTGTGGGGTTGCGGGGATGAGTAATATTTAACTCAAAATTCCTGTTTTCGTTCTTCAATGAAACAAATAATTGTTCAATAAAATAATTAAAACTTGTTCTGTTCTACTTTAAAAAAAATTAAAAAAAATCTGTTGAAATGTCATGTTTTTTTGTTTAATTTTGTATCGAATATTTCCAAAATTCCCCAGCTTAACTTCCCATGGAAAATGTGCAACCCTAAACATAACCAATAACCTACCATAGCCAATAACTATCTTATTTTAGCTAGTTAACATTTATTTATGCATATTTTTGTATCCCTCCAACTTTAAACGATATTTTTGGTTTACTGTCCTATAGTATACATTGGAATGGTTTCAAACCTGTTTTTATTTATCCTAAAAATGATAAAGGAGTGCCTTGGAAATATGTGTTTACATAATTTAGGAAAATTAGGATGAGCGCCAATGGTCAAAAATGTTTTTTCCCCTCCCAGAGCTACCAGCACAGCGCCCCCCAGATCTGGCACCCGAGGCGACCGCCTATGTCGCCTAGGCCAAAAATCGGCCCTGCCTAGTACATACAGTGGCAATGTCTCAAGATTTAGCAAAAATATACCTTTATTGAACATACAGTAACACAAATACTACAAATCCACATAAACAATCAAAAATGAAAAAGGGTCGCCAATTATTATTATTTTTAATTAAAAAAGTAAAAAAAAAATGTTTTTATTTTTTTTGGGTACCTGGCTGGTGCCCCCTAGCAGCGGCGCGCATATTTCAGCAGCGGCGCTGCGCCACTACTATTTGTATATAGGGGAAACACTGCTCTTTCTGTGGGATGACCTCAGCACATGCCTCAGAGCGCTTTATCGCTTCTCACACTGCTGTTATAGTTTGATTGTGTGTATCAAGCTGAGCGGATTCTTTTCTTCACTTTCCTTTCCCCCCTCACTCCCTTCACTCTCATTCTCGCCCCCTCCTCTACACCGGCTCTCTTCGCCTCCCTCTCACTCCGCCGTTATATGAAGAAGGTTAAACCGAGCGAGGCCCAGATATAAAACATTTTAATAGAGATATCCTCTGTGCTGTGCTGGCAGTTCAAAGTGTCACACACTCCCTATCCGTTACTTCTGATGAGCTCTTCCCTCAGAACCCATCCCTCCTTAGCACCGTTCCCTAATCCTCCTCTTTCATATTTCTCACTCCCACCCCTCCTCTATCAACAATTTGTATGAGTAACAAAAAAAAGTACTTACCAGTTCACTGGATTTCTTCTCCAAGTTGTACTTCAGTAACTGCGAAAGAGAAGAAGAAGAAAATCAAGATGAAGGATTTCATCTCAGATGAGCCGAGCATTGTGGCTTACTCTGAGTGAATTTGTTTAACCCAGAGTTTTTCAACCTTTTGAGCCGTGGTACATTTTTTTACAAAAAAAAAAATTCTGCAGCACACAAATAAGTGAAAAAGTTACTATATGACACATTGAAGCCCAATAAGTATTTTTTATGTCTTGTAACTGCACTGTTGAGGAACCTGCGATCTAAGTTTTTCAAACATTATATAATTACAATGTAGTTGTGTAAACCTTTGAATCTTGAATCTAAAACATGAAGACAATTTAATGACAAGTCTCTCAATTCGGTTACGAGTTCAGCTCCTAAGTAGCTAGCTTTGAGAACTTTCGCTTGTTTTATGTCATAAAAGTTTGGGAGTTTGTTTACGCAGGCAAACAAAATAGTACATGTTCTTGTTTTGAAGTGACAGGTGTTTTGTCTGGAGATGACGTTTCAGCTTGCTTGGGACCATGGTACTGTTGGATTATATTTGCAGCAACTAAATAAGATTGTTTGGGACCGATTAAGTGAAATTGGACCATTTCCAAGGGCACACGTGACGATCTCTCACAGCAAAGTGGTTGAAAATCAATGGGTTAACCTGATCAGAATCCAAAAATCATCAGCTACAAGATATTCTGCTCATTGATCCAACAATCCCATATTTGTGTAAACATTCAATCAAGGTTCCACAAATGTATTAAACTGAATGAGACTGGTTTGTCAGCTGCTGAATCCAAGGTCAATAAAGAATTAGAAATTCAGGTTTTAAGCATCGACAATAGGAACTAAAGGTTCTATTTCGTCCCTACTGACCGCCAGAGGCGGTGCTTTAAGAACTGGATATGTCCATCGCGCGCATGCGCAGCTCGAGTACCAATACCAACAAAGTCACCTGTGACCCACGTGACACCGGCTATATCAGCCGGTGTCGTCAGAGGATCTGTTCCTTTCATCTTCTCGCTGCGCGAGGGTACCGCGGCTACATTTTTGTAGCCTACAGCGTTCAGGTTTGAACGTTTGATCTGAGGGATTTCTCTGCAAGCAGCTGGCCGCGTGCAGCTTCGTGACTGACAGTCGGAGCTACGGGTCGTTAACGCGTCCTCCAGGAGCTGTGGTCGGCTGTGCGCAGTGCAGAGCCTCGACAGACAGGTTGGTGTCAGCTTGTTGCTGGTGATGGCTGTGTCCCCGCACCCTCTCCCAGCCAAGTTGTCCTGATTGCTGTCTTATTTTTTGTTTGGCTTAGACTTTCTGGTGACGACAGTGTTCCCGCTTCCTCTCCCATAAAGTTGCCCTTATGCTCTTTTGAAAGTTCTGCTTGTGGCGTTGTGCCCGAGCTATCATTAGCTTTTGAGTCCCAGCTTTGGCTGTGTCCCTCATTCAATTTAACCCATTTTTCGTTTAGATGCAGAGAGTAAGGTAAGTACTTTCTATTTCTTAGAAGCTATTATCTGGTCTTAACATTTGTGTTCTGACTTGGTCGCTTGATTGTTAGCAGCAGCCGCTTGGCTAACACCTTGCTGTTAAGCTTAACTATTAACTCAGCCGGTGAGGGCAGTGCTCCCGCTCCCGGTAACATAGGGTTTGATTGCAGTAGTGCTAGATCGTTGTATTACTGCTCCTAGTACTAGACTCCTAGCACTAGGATGATATGCAGAGAACATCTTCACTGCGGGTGCTGTGTGCTCCGCATGTGCGGTTACTACTGTAACCATGGCCTACGGTTCTATGCGGGCTGTTCTCTTTCTTAGAAGCTAATTATCTGGTCTTAACATTGTGTTCTGACTTGGTTGCTTGATTGTTAGCAGCAGCCGCTTGGCTAACACCTTGCATGTACTGTTAAGCTTCATTATGTAACTCAGCGGTAAACGCATGGTATGGTTGCAGTAGCGCTATATCGTTGTATTTACTGCTCCTAGTACTAGACTCCTAGTACTAGACTCCTAGCACTAGGACGATATGCAGAGAACAATCTTCACTGTGTGCTGTGTGCTCTGCATGTGTGGCCATTAAGGAGGATTTCATCCTCCCAATATTATATTATCTAGTGGGCAGCCGTTTGGCTGACACTTTTAGGCACCGGCCACAGTTACTACTGTAACTAAGGTTCTAAGCCGTAAGTACTGGCCATAATTACTACTGTAATTACGGTTCCAAGCCGTGTAAGTACTGGCCATAGTCAATACCGTAACTACGGCTCTATGCTGTGTAAGTACTGGCCATAGTTACTACTGTAACTACGGTTTTAAGCCGTAAGTCCTAGCCATAGTTACTACTGTAACTACGGTTCCAAGCCGTGCAAGTACTGGCCATAGTCAATACCGTAAACGGCTCTATGCTGTGTAAGTACTGGTCATAGTTACTACTGTAACTACGGTTCCAAGCCATGTAAGTACTGGCCATAGTTACTACTGTAACTACGGTTATATGCCGTGTGAGCACTGGCCATGGTTACTGCTGTAACTACAGCTCTGTGCTGTTCTCTTCTTTCGAAGCTAGTTATCTGGTCTTAAACATGTGTGTTATTTGACTTGATATCGCTTGATCGTTAGCAGCAGCTGCTCGGCTAACGTCTTGCGTGTACTGTTAAGCTTCTTTATTTTACCCAGCTAGGTGAAGGCAGTGCTCTCGCTCCCGCTCCCTCTACCGGTAATGCGGATGTAGTCTCTAACTCAACCAGTGAAGGCAGTGTTCTCGCCCCCGCTCCTGGTAGACGCTGAACTGCCTCGTTTTTCCGTTAAGCAGGTAGCTGGTGAAGGCTGTGTTCCCGCACCCGCTCCCGGTTACGCTGCATCTGGCATTCGTCTCTAACTCAACCAGTGAAGGCAGTTCTCGCCCCCGCTCCTGGCAGACGCAGAACTGCCTTGTTTCTCCGTTAAGCAGGTAGCTGGTGAAGGCTGTGTTCCCGCACCCGCTCCCGGTTACGCTGCATCTGGCATTCGTCTCTAACTCAGCCAGTGAAGGCAGTGTTCTCGCCCCCGCTCCTGGTAGACGCGGAACTGCCCTGTTTTTCAGTTAAGCAGGTAGCTGGTGAAGGTTGTGTTCCCGCACCCGCTCCCGGTTATGCTGCATCTGGCATTCGTCTCTAACTCAGCCGGCAGTGTTCTCGCCCCCGCTCCTGGTAGACGCTGAACTGCCGTGTTTATTAATCCAGCCAGGTGAAGGCAGTGCTCTCGCTCCCGCTCCCTCTGCCGGTAACGTGGGTGTAATTACATCCCTCTTTCTGTTCGGCGAGTAGCAGCAACGCTCTACTCTTTCCATTAAGCAGGTAGCTGGTGAAGGCTGTGTTCCCGCACCCGCTCCCGGCTACGCTGCATCTGGCTACCTACGGAGTGGCTCATTCATGTAGCGCCTGTATGGCTTCTTTTGAGCCATTGAGAAATGTGAGCATCTGAGGGAGGTTCTCACGGTAAACGCCTGCATGAGCTGTAGCTGCATGCCTCGGGCGCTCAGAGTGGCTAGAATCACTGAGGTGGAACGTCTGGCAGCAGCCAACAGACACCTCTCCTTGTCACATCCTCCTCCAGATCAATTCGGCCGTTCCCGGCGACTTGAGGGAGCGATGGCTATGTGTGCTCCCCCCAATAGAAGGACTAGAAAAGCTGTCCTCTAAAGTGGATCGGCTAGCTGCCGATAGGGGCATGATGAAGTCGCCTCTTGGTCCTTCAGCCTGGGCCAGGTGTAGGGGCCTTCGGTTGACGCCCCTCCTTCGGTTGGCGCACCTCCTTCGGCTGACGCACCTCCTTCGGTTGATGCACCTCTGTATGAGGAGGCCTTGTCGCTGGTACAGACTCGTCGCCAGGTTTCGCTGGCCCAGTCACCACTAACGGAGGCATGTAGGAGAGTCCTCCGTAGCGTACCAGTCGATCCAGGGGAGCTGTTTAGGGCAGCTGCCCTGGAGGCACTGGAGCGTGCCGCCCAAGCTAGGCAGACCAGGCAGCAGCTCTCGGGTCTTCGCAGACCTGTGCCCACTCCCAGCAGGCCCAGGGGCCGCTCTAGCAGCCGCACTCAGCCGCCGGATTACAGGGGTGGTCTGCAGAGGTCTTAGCGGCGCGACCCAATGACTTTCGTGCCCCAAGTCGCCCGCCTTCCAGACGGCCTTGTGCCCCAGTGCCCCCCCGGTCGTCGGCTGCTTTCCCAGCAGCAGCTCAGTTACTGGGCGGTCTGTACTTCCGTCCCTTGGGTAGTTTTCACCTTAACCCAGGGGTACGGACCGCAGCTCCGGCCCCTAGCCTTCGGCTGGGTCTAATTGACAGTCGTCAGCGATCCGGCAGGGGCCCTAGCTCTGGCCCAAGAGTTGTCCGTCCTTCTGTCCAAGGACACAATCAAGCCAGTAAGACCCTCTGCTTAGCCCAGGGGGTTCTACTCGGCGTACTTTCTCGTGAGTAAGAAAGTCGGCGGATTTCGCCCGATCTTGGACCTCAGAGGAATCAACAGATTCCCGAAGGTGCTGCCATTCTATATGCTGACCACTGCATATGCACAGGTGGAGTGGTTCTCAACCGTGGACTTGAGGGATGCCTACTTCCACGTGGGCCGGGCAAGATGGTGCCTTATATTCAGTTCCTCCGGCCCTTGGGCAGACTGGCAGCTGCCTCGGCCGCTGGGCCCTTAGGCCCGCTGTCGTTGCGCCCCATGCAGATGTGGCTGAACAGCCTTCACTTGGACGCCAAGTGGCACAGGCACAGGGAAGTCAGGGTGTCGCAGCATTGCCTCCACTCTCTGTCACGCTGGAGGGGCAGGGCCTATCTCCTAGTGGGCGTGCCCATGGGCGCCATCCCATCCCGCCAGGAGACCATCACCATAGGTGCATGTCTCTCAGGGTGGGGTGCAGTGTGGCAGGGCAGGACCGTTCAGGGTCAGCGGTCTGCCCAGGAGAGTGCGCGCCAGGTCAACGTGCTAGAGCTTCGGGCTGTGCAGCTTGCACTCACGCACTTCCTACCCCAACTGGGGGGCAAGAA